TTGTGTGTTTGTCAATTCGAGTCCAAACCTTTTAAATTCTTGCCAATTGAGTTTTCCTAAACCAATTTTGGTGGCCATTTTGACGTGGCCGCCGGCCGGGCGCCGGCCGTCCGGTCAAACGCCGACGTGGCAATTTTTAATTATTTTTTTCAATTTTTTAATATTTTTTTTTTTCTTCTTTTTTTTCTAGTTTCTCCCCTCGGCCGCTCCGCCACCGGCGGCCGGCCGTAGGGGAGGGCCGGCGAGGCCTCGGCGGCTCGCCCGCCGCCGGGCCGGGCGAGGCTCGGCAAGGCGAGGTCGAGCCTCGCCGTCGCACGGGTCGCGACGGTGAGGGCGAGGGGCGAGGCTCGGCGCGAGGTCGAGCCTCGCCTGTCGCGACCCGGCGACGGCGAGGCTCGACCTCGCCTCGCCGCCGCCCGGGTCGCGACGGCGAGGCTCGACCTCGCCTCGCCGCCGCCCGGGTCGCGACGGCGAGGTCGAGCCTCGCCTGCATCTAGCGAGGCTCGACCTCGCCTCACCCGGCCCAGTGGCCGGCGAGGCCTCGCCGGTGGCCGGCGGGCGAGCTCGCCAAAGGCCTCGCGGCCCTCCCCTCCGGCCGGCCGCCGCCGAACCGGCCGAGGGGGAGAAACCAAAAAAAAAAAAAAAGAAGAAAAAGAAAAAAATATTAAAAAATTGAAAAAAAATAATTAAAAATTGCCACGTCGCGTGATCGGACGGGCGGCGCCGCCTGCGGCCACGCCATGCCGGCCAAAATTGGCCAAGGACTCAATTGGCAGAATTTAAAAGGTTTAGAGGCGAATTGTAAAACTAAAGCCAGGATCGAATTGGCACGCCGTACAATAAGTTTGACGATTTGACAATTTTCCCGATAGTTGTGTGTTGGACCAATGCATCTCCAATTTACACGAATAACTATGTAGCAAGATCACCGTGATTTTAAGCAAGATCTCTTTGAGAAATTTTCGCAAGTAGTTGGTGGGGCTAGTTATAACAAGCATCACAAATCCAATTTAATTTTCCTGCTCCAACAACATCCGTAGAACCAACAGTGGAGAGCAAATAATTAACTAAAAATTATATATCTTGTCCTCACCAAACAATGAATAAGAGAAGAAGAAATCATGCGGCTCAACGAAATCGGACAATGAGAGAGAGAGATGCACATCTAAGTGATGGATGAGAGCTCCTCCAGATTTGAGATCGAGCGGGTCAGGAATTGGACCTAGCGGCCACGGTTCCGCCTGCGCCAGTTGCAAGTGAAGAAGAGGAAGACGGCGAAGTGGGCAATTTCAATGAAATTTGCAACTACTAAGGACTACTTGGAGGTTGGGGCTGTGTTCATGTAAGAGAGAAAGAGAGAGAGAGCTCAGGAGACAAGTTAGATGATGGAGGTGAGAGTGAGGAGGAGGAGAGGGAGGTTGACTTAGTATAGAGAGAGGAGGAAGGAGAAAGACCGAGAAGAGTTGCCATTGACTAGGCCCGTCAAATGGGGGGTCAAGTTGGATATGGATCGGTACAAAAATGATTCTATCTAAATTGATCCATTTTTATATAATACAGTTTTAGCAATCCACACCAGACATACATTAGCTCCAATTCTTAGCAATTTTTCTACTTAAATTGTTGCCTTTGAAGAATGGACGACTCTATATCGACTCACCGAGTTGGTGCGGGAGTTGGAGTGCTCAAGTCGAAGCGTGGGCTAATAGCAAATGAGTTATAGGCCAACTATGTCATATTCAATACTCAACACCACACCAATTCTCCGATGTGGGATTTCTCTAATACAACTCACACGTGCATCTGAATAATCTCCTCCTCATGTGTAGCTTAGTGTTAAGTCTGCACCCCCTTAAACACCTTAATCTAGATATATCCTTCTGCATCAAGATATGAAGTTTGCCACTGAGCATGCAGTGTTACATCACAATGCCCACCACTGCCTAGAAATCGCTCTCAACTTCATTGACCATCGGCTCTGATAACAATTTGTTGAGATTACTAAGCATATAGCAGAAGCCCGATACATTTCGTTTAGGGAGATCACTAAAAAGGAACCCAAGTCCAAGCATGTTAATATATATGGTTTAACCCACATTCACTCAAATGCTTATGTCAATGTTATGGGTCAACTGGGATATATTAAACGATTTACATTACACCAATACTCCCATGTGAGATTTCTCTAACATAACTCATACATGCATCCTAATAATTATGTTGATTCCTTTTAATGAAATTTCATTTTTCTTTAAAATACACATAAAGCTAAAGAATGTGTTTGTTTGCATTTATATGGGAAATCCAAATTCATTATATATTTAAATGCATCATTCGTGCTAATTATAAACAATTAAAAGTATCTACCTTATCTGAGAAGAAAAAGTAACTTAAAAGGCTTTAGTTAACTTTCAAAAGAAATGAAACACTTAATTTTTCTTTAGAAAAGTAGAAAAAATTATCACACCAAGGGAAATAACCAAAAAAGTCTTAAACCTATTGTAATTGTGTCAATTCAATCATAAATCTTTCAATTTGGTCAATCTAGTCCTAAACCTTTTAATGATTCACCAATGTAGTCCTTCTAGAAAATTTTGGCTAGAAATCGTTGACGTGGATGCCAGCCGTCCTACGTGGCACGGCCGGAGCTGACACAAACATTTTTAATAATTTTTTTAAAAAATTTCTTAATTTGGTATATATATTTTTATATCTTTTGTCTTTCTTTTTCTTTCTCATTGTGACTGGCGAGGTTTGTTGGGCCTCACTGGCCGCTAGTGAGGGCCGTCCGCCCTCGCCTAGTAGCTAGCAAGGTACCGGCAACTATCGGCGGCCACAATGGAAAAAAAAAAAGAAAAATAAATATATAAAAAAAATTCCGAAACATTTTTAAAAAATTGTAAAAATTATTTACGTTATCGTCAATCGTGTCACGTAGGATGGCCAACTTCCACGTTGGCGATTTCCAGCTAAAATTGGCCAGAAGGACTATATTGGCAAATTGTTAAAAGGTTTATGAAAAAATTGGTCAAATTAAAAGATTTATGACTAAATTGGCTCAAGTGAAAAAGATTTAGGACTTTTTTGGTAATTATCCCCACCAATCTAGGGTTGGCAATTAGTGTTAGCGCCTGATAATCTTGCTTGTAATTCACGCCAGCCTAAAACATGTTAATTTTCATTTTACATGTCAAATAACTGAATTACGGTGAAAACATGTGAAGTCGTGTCAACGTATAAATTAGGCGTATCATGTTGTTTCATATTCTTATTTTTTTTCTCTATAATTCGTGTTTTACCTCGTGCCATCCAACGGGTCGTCTCCAGCATTGCCGGCCCTACACCAATTTTCTAATATTTTGGTGTGAAGTTAGACCCAGGTATGAATATTGAAGGGGCTGGAATGGCCTAACCCATAGGAATATCAAAGTGTCCTACTTTATCTTCCAATTTCCAATTACAACCTAGATATAGACCATAAATGTTTAGCCAGTGGCCTTCTCCTTGTATTGCGATGCCTCGGCCCACGATACAAATCATCTTCGGCTCACTCCGTCAAGAGGGTTTCAATTTCTCATCAACTCAAATAAATAAAGACAGACAATGAGAACTTTTCCTTATTGATATAATAATTCTTGATAAGAATCAAAACACTATTAGCAGAGCAAACGACTGGCAGCTTCTTTTAAGAAAAGTAAATAAAAGAAGTTAGTAAATTTAATAAGTCGGTAATGAAGGCAAATAAAAGTCATAACATAATAGAAAGGTTGAGTTGATAAATTTAAGGAAAAACAAATAAGCATTGCTGAGCAGCTCAAATGAGAGGTGGGAACCCAATGCTAGTTGAAGAAAAGTAGGTACTTCACACAAATAAATGTTAGTAATTTTATATAATAGTTGGCAAATTTAACCGCTGGTAACAAATGTAATCAAAAGTTGGTAAAATTGATTAGAGAATTTATTATGTTTTTTTTTGTCTGAGATAAGAGAAGTTAGTAATTTAAAAATAAAATGACAAATAAACATTGGCAAGTAACGCAGATAAGAGTTGGTAACAAAAATCAGTTGGTAACTTAATTGGAAATAAATTGGTAATCAGTCTAATTGAAGTTAACAAATTTTAAAAATAATTGGTGAGTTTAGAAAGTCGATAAGCAATGCAAATAGAAGTGGCGATTCAAAAGAAAATTTGGTAAATTTTAGAAATAAATAAACATTTATTAGAAACTTAGAGGATAGTTGATAGCTGATAACTGGTTGTTTACTTAATCGGAGATTAATTGGTAAGTCACTCAAACAAAAGTTGGTGACTTTAAATTGGCAAATTTAGGACGTTGGTAATAAAGATAAGTAAAAGTTTGTAAAAAATAAGATGAGCTTTGTTAAATAACATGAGAATTTGGTTATTTAAAAAACCAATAAAGCTCGCTAACTAACTCAAATAAGGATTAATAACGCAAAATTAATTGGTAATTCAATCGAAGAAAAGTTGACAATCAATATAATTAATGTTGGTAAATTCATGCGGGTAACAGTGATGCGAAAAATCAATTAGGATCGAAAATCTGTATGAAAACTTCATGGGATCCATAGATTCTTCAAATATGATTTGATTGGCCTATTAATTGAGATGAGAACTCGAGCCAAACCATTTTACATGGCAGCTTCAAGTTTCTGGTGAAAACAGCTTAGCTAGTTTATCTCATGAAAGATCTCCCGAATTGATTATGCAATGAAACAATCATCTTAAAACACAACACCTGCTGTGATTTAAATCAATTGCAAATTAAGCTAGTGATTCGTGCTAATGGGAATTCATAAAGTGATAGTTCCCATGTATTGTGAAGGATGGATATGGATTCATATACACATGCATGTAAGTACTTATTGAGCATCCGACCAAAAAAAAAAAAAAGTACTTATTGAGCGCATACGCATGTGTGACAAGTCTTTCTCGTCTCTCTCTTATCATCCACTGCAAAGTGTCATACAAGAGCAGATACAAAAGACTGGACTGCTGGATTCATTATTTCATATTAAGCTTTAGAGATCGATCTGACAATGGAAGTGCTTCTCTGCCATGCAAGTCAAGCCTCGTCCAGTGAGTACCCACAGAGAGAGACAGAGAGACTGGAAACATAAAGCTACAAACGTTAGAGATCCATTTTCCTAAATTTATAAATTGAATGTGGAGGTTGTATTGATGTCGCGTAGTTAGAACCAATTGTTGCTGGCGCTGCTCGTTGAGTTCACGTCCTGCCGCTGGTAATAATGCTGCTGCGTGTGCACCGGATGACGGTAACCCGACATTGAGCTGCTGCTCTCGCCTACCACGTTGCTCCTTCCTTCCCCATAATCTTCCTCCATTTCCTCCTTGGCCTCCACCTTCTCCAACCCGGCCATCAACACCACGGGCGGCCTCTCCAGTGGCGGAGTCATGAACTGCATCAGTGGTTGCTCGTGGCAGTATTCGGACCCTGGCGGCGGCACGACCGACGGGAGCTTTGAGAGAAGCGCCTCGAGGCTGCTCATGGATGGCGTGATCTTGAATGGCTGGTTGAATGGGTCGCAAAGGTCAGACGGCGGTTGAAGGTTCGCTTCGAAGTGCCATGCACCGTCTGGTGCGCCGCTGTATCCCACATTGGGATATGAAGAAGATGATGGGTGAGGCAAGAGCACCCCGGGAATGCTCTCTATGTAGCTGAACCTTTTCCTCAGTAGTACAACGTAGCTGAGATCTTCTACCACCTTTTACGTACGTTTGAGGACGGTAAAAAAGGTGAGAAAAATGAACAAGACTAACAGCATAAATGAAGAGTACTATTATTTTCGCCGACCCTTTAGGGGAGAATGGGAAAAAATGGTGAGAAACACACAGGACATGATCAAAGGTAGTTTTGTTCTTTCTTAGAGTGGAAGACTGAGAAGGAGAGAAAGAGCGAAGAACCTTGTTGACAGCACCAAGCTGAACCACACCTTCTTTAACTGCAATTAATGCGATCGTCTGCAACATATGTAGGTTCCGATCAAATCGAAGATACTTATGCGTAAAGATTGTGTCTAAAACATCTAATTTTCATTCAAAAACTGTGGTTTTTCACTTATTATCTTACCTTTATACCAGACTGAAACTGTGCTTCCCATGTCCTAGGATGCTGTTCATGGATATAGTATGTCATCAAGTTAGAGAAGATATTCGTAAAGGACTTGCAGTTAAATTAATAAGTGATAAAGTTGAAAGTTAGGGTAACAGAATGGAGGACTAATAGGCCGAGTTACTCACTGATTCGGCTGAGTTGTGCCATGCTGACAAGAAGTTGATTTCTTGCTCGTTTGGCTCTTTGTGTATCCACTTATGGCTATAATCTGCAGCCACTTTTCCAATTATACTGCGCAAAGAAAATGTCATTGGCTCTCCTTTCTCTATCTAAATCCATCCAAGGGTTAGCTACAAGAATCGGCGGGGACGATTACTCTGCTTGGCCGAAAAGGAAGAACTAATGGAATAAAATGAACATGAAAATTCTTTGCTTACCCTTCTCCATAGTTATAAATTTCATGAGACATCTTGAAGAAAAGCTCCGGTTGCAGTCCTTGGTATTGCGGGAATTCGCAGTCGCCATACACTGAGGAGCTCGGGTAATCGCCGCTGGCGGACTCCACTGCCGTTGAGGCGGCGAAGTTGCAGAAGCCATCCTCCCAAACCATTATCCTGCCATAAGTATTATGGACACAACCAAAAGATGGCATCAAATGAAAAGAAAAAAAAAAAAAAGGATGACCCGTCTGGATGGACAGCAAGAAACTCTATCTAGACAGAAATAAGAGGTGGTACCAGTTTCGTCTATTTCCTCTTGACCTTTCATAAGCTCCTTGAGCTTCCCATCTGAAGCATGAAGATCGGGGCAATGATAATAATAATAATAATAATAATAATAATAATAATAATAATAACAGCGACAAGGTATACTATTGATGAACAGAGGGAATCTTCAGGTGTGATCCTTCCTCAATAAAAATTTATTGGAACCTTCTCTCTTGTGGAAAACAAAAATATAGAAACCACATAGAAGAACGAATACAAATATATTTTTTGTAGATCTTACTTGGGGGGTGGATAGTTCCGAGGCAAGATCCTCCAAAAGACAGCATAAACCCACTGGGAGTTCTCATGCAGGCACAAGCTTCTGAGAGTGTGTTGAAGGAGATGAGTGGCTGCTAGTGGGTTGAGGTGTTCCTCCATGGAATCTAGCTCTTAGGAAGTCTATGCCTTTTTGCCCCCTTCTTTTTTAGCGCTCTCTCTCTCTCTCTCTCTCTCTCTCTCTCTCTCTCTCTCCCCTTTAATCTGCTCTATCACTATCTTGAAAAACCAGGAAAAACACCCTATCCCCTAGCCCTCCTTCATATCCTTTTTATATAGGAGGACCACCATGAGGGAAGTATGTCTCACGTTTGTACTTTTGTTTTGGAAAATCTCTCTCTCTCTCTCTCTCACACACACACACACAACTTGTATAATGCTGAGAAGAATATAAATCTAATGCAAGACTTATGTAATTTATCTCCTTTTGGATTTCGGTGTATACATACCACCAGATTTATGAGATATGATTAGTCTAGTTAGTACATCATGCACTACATTTTTAACATCATGTAATTAGTTGAGTTATTTAAATTATCATGTTAGACTCTATGATTTCCCATCTCTGTTCCTCATGTATTTAAATTGATCTCACGGATTCTCTAAATGTTTAATCCAATTATTGATGGATAAATTTTTTGAGTTTTTGGAGGTTTGTGTATGAAAAAGATGGAGGCTATACCTAATCATGACACAACCTAAATACAAAAATGATTTGTAGAGGCCCACCTTCTCTCCTTTTCCCCTTCACTGTTCACAAGAATCTGCCTCCAGCTCTCCCTTCCCTTTCAAGCCTTGGTTTTTCGAAGCCTCCCGTTGGGCTTCGCACGTAGTTTCAAGGACTAATGATGGGTGTGCCGAAATTGTGGAATGAAAATTGTGTAAAATGTTTTTGGTGGTAAACTCAACTAAGCTGTAATGAACAAATCTCTCTCTCTCTCTCTCTCTCTCTCTCTCTCTCTCTCTCTCTCTCTCTCTCTCTTGGGGTGCCGAAATTGGAGAATAAAAATCGCGTAAAATGTTTTTAGTGGTAAACTCAACTAAGCAGTAAGGAACAAATCTCTCTCTCTCTCTCTGATGGGGTGCCGAAATTGTGGAATAAAAATCGCGTAAAATGCTTTTAGTGGTAAACTCAACTAAGCAGTAATGAACAAATCTCTCCCTCTATCTCTCACTCCAATGCATTCACCTTATCTGAGTTTGGCAGAAACTTGCAAAATCATTCATACATTCCAAGGCAAACCAAACCGCACCGCCATGTGAAGTTTAGCCGAGCATGTCGGATTATGCAGGTATAATGGGAGCTATTAATCAGTCCATCACGAATGGGGTTTCAAAAGATACAATTCAGTATAGAAAGTACAGTGTGTGAAAAAAGGACGTGATCGAAGACGAAGAGTACATTATCTCCAACGAATACAAGCTTTATTTGTGTCGCTTCTAAGTACATTGTCTCAATTACTTTAGAAGAACACTTTCTAAAGTCATAAAGGCCCGGCTGAACCACGACCAGAGCAGACAATATCACATTGGCGGCAAGAGCCCGGATAAGGCTGTGATGCCGGTGCTCCAAGAACGAGCCATGATCAAAGCAAACAATCTAGTGAACAGTTCAGCATCTGGTTTAGGGATTTGCAAGGAAGATGCTTTATTATGGCTGGAATCAAAGAGATTGAATTGATCAGAAATCAACCTCGAGACCTCACATTTCTTGATATGTAAGGATCCATTCATTGTATCGCTCGTCAAACCATAGGTTTTTTGTTTTGAATAATACTATTCATCTCAAACACTAATCTTCATATATCTTGAGAAATGACATAAGATTCATCACTAAGCAAAGAGTATATTAACATTTATAAAACCAAGTACCAATGTGTGGACATCACACATTTTAACATGTTATCAAGATTTGCCACAACATTTAGTAAGAAATTTGAAAATCGCTGTCATTACTTTATTGAGGAGATCTTAACACAAAAGCGTACTTGTGAAAATAATAACTCTTTCCCTTATTTTTTACGGTTGATAGCATAAATAATCTCGAAAAAAAAATATAATCTTCTCAATCTAACGTGTGAAATTATTAAGTATGCATTTGGCAAGCCAAAGATTGAGTCGTCAATGCAATAAAGAGGACCCCAAAAAGTTCATTACATTTATGTCTTTACTTCTCCTTGTCTCTTGCCCCAAGCTTCCCTTTGACCCAAAGGCCATAGGGCGTACACAACAGTATTTTCAATCCTGCAAAGCCATCAACGATTCAACCAACCCAGCCAAACGAAAAACCCTCCATGTAAATTGTCATGCGAGCCAAAATGAGGCAAGAGAGTGAAGGACTAAAGAGAAGTTATTGGTTATACCCAGTGACGTGGATCGGTGCACATGATCAATTAAATTTTATAAGTTTCGCATGAAGTTCACAAGATTTAACAGATCATATCTATTCCATCTATATGTTTCGGGTGCAACTAACAATTTTTTTATAGGACTAGATAACCCATCTTCAAACTAAACCCTAGCAAGTACACATCCATACAACATTTGTCATAATTTTTTTGCCTTCAATCTTCTTCTTTTTCTCTCTCTTTTCTAAATTAATGCATTTTTTTTCCTAAGGGTATATAAACAATTCTCTCTCTCTCTCTCTCTCTCTCTCTCTCTCTCTCTCTCTCTCTCTCTCTCTCTCTCTCTCTCTCTCTCTCTCGTGCGGGTAAATAGCATGATGACTAAAACAAAGAAAAGGGAGCTATCAGTGCTTTCATTTCCCCTCTCTGACACCACGAAATTTTGGCAGATCATTATGCGCTCTCTCTCTCTTTGACCATCTGGTTTCCATTGTCCCTCCCCTCTCTTTCGCGCTTCATGAACACGTACATACATATGCAAACAAGTGTTGGAGGGTAAAAAGAAAAAAAAATATATTTACACTCCAGCCGCGCATTTACACCTTCGCTTCTCTTGATAGGGACAGACATGGCCTCCACCATCTGTAGTCCCTCTCTTCCAGAGCTTTTAAGTACGTTTTAACCCGTATGACTCCAACTGGCCCGAAGGAAAAGTCGAGAGTTCAGCTGCGTAATTCAATAATTTATAGCAGATTTATATGTGTGGATAGTTTACGCATGTAGTCTCAGTACGAGCACGATGTAATGCCCATAGCATGGGGACCACAAAACATAGGACGGGATTTATTCATCCATGTCGATCATTCGGTGTGATACAATAGTATGAGAACGTACGGCCTTCCATGTAGGTCAAAAATACATGAATTGTCCGATAGACAGGCTCTGATGCTGGGGGGAGAGCGGTGTAAGGAAAGAACATTGAATGAGGTTTGGAGTTAATAGATTATCCATCGATGTTGATGGGGGGGGGGGGGGGCGGGGGGCGTGGGTTGGACATCCGAATAAATGACACGAAATTATTGCCAACTTTTGTTCACATCTGATAACCCACCACAGAAAATTTATGTACATGAAAGGGGGGGGTGGCGCGTTCAAATTGGAGATTTTGGCATGGGATGAGAGAATGGCAGAAACCTGGTCAAGATAACAGAGGGGGGTGTCTTTGAATGCCCCATCCCTTTCTTCCATTAAAGAAGTGGAATCTCTGCTCTCCCCATCTCCCCATCCTCCCCAATGTCTCATTTGTTTCTTTATATTATTTCCCAAGCAAATAAAAAATTAAAGAGAGAAGAGCCTTCGATATTCTTTTATATACGAGCACTATGTGATGATAATATTTGGGGTATGTGCAAAAAATGATGAGTTAAAGTTGCAAAGATGCGAGTGCTTCGTTGATGCATGAACACTTGCAAAAGATGTGAACAGGTGACTAGGAGAACAAATTCATCCGAAAAAGAGTTTGATGTGACCTTTGCTAATGATAAAGAAGATGAGATAAGCTCATAGGAGATGATTTGTTTCGTATGATGTGCCATGGCATATTGAATGTTTTGACGAGAAAATGAGACCTTTCGGTTCCATTTATTTCACAAAAAATAAATGATTTGAAAATTATTTCGCTTAAAATAATTAGCTAATGAAACATCATTATCGAGAATAATTTATATCTAAATAATTTCGTGTACAATCAAAATAATTTTCGTTCATTCATTTTTTTTAAAGTGATTTAAGCGATCAATTTTTTGAAAAATATTCTCCAAATCATTCATTTTATTCGTTTTCCGCGAAATAAAGGCGACATTTATATAATTAGAAAATAGTGCATCATTTGATTAATGTGCCCATCTTACCTAATGGAACATGTGTGCTTCTCTTCGTGCTCCCTCGTTCCATGCAACTTACATTGCATAATATTAAAAACTTAGATTAGTTAAAGGCCAAATAAAATATTGTATGCTTCAAAGCGGGCAAATCTTTGTTACCATCCCACACAATCTTTGCTTAGATTCTTGCATGTGGGGAAATCGAGGTATGGAAGCGAAGAGTGGCATGAGTCTCCCCTTTATTTTAATGTTTGTTCTGGGAATGTTTTGTCCTGTATAGTATTGAGTCATGGCCTGGATTGGATTGCCATCTTTTGAGATTAAAAAAGTGATATGTGGGAAGTACTGCTCACTCGCCTCTGGGTTTTGGGTTTTTATGAAAGGTTCGTCTAATTAGGTCGCAATGATGACCAAACATCTAAATTTCAGTGTCCCTTGAAATGATGGATTGTCTTATCCTCTTAAGACCTGGTATCTTGTTCTGTTCCTGTCAAAATTGATTTAAAATGGAATCCACATTTCCCGATAGTGGGTTTTGTTGGCCTTGTTCTTGGGGAAAGATTAAGCTGCTTCTTATCGATTTACACTGTATGCATTTGTTGACGAGTGCATTCATGCATGGACATGGCATAAGCTTCTATCATGTATATTATTCATGCATGGACATACTGTTGACACAAAAGAATGTGTCCAAGTGTTGTAGTGGACAGATTAGAAGCATAAGAAGAGTGCAATGTAATCGTCGAATAAAGGAGTTGATATAACCGTCGAATGGTGGAGTCTTAGTAACTGCTTCTTATTGTTGATTGTGGGCTTTAAATATCAGCATTGCACACTTTGTAAAACCCCAATCAATCACAAACTCAAAGCTCTTTTGAAAATTTATGTTTATCTTTACTTTCCTGCAATTTATATCGTTTGCAACGATTGTTACTAGTGTTCATACATTTAAATTCCTTATTATTTACTTTTCTGTCCAAAATCAACAAAATGACC